GGGGAGAGGACGCGGGGGGGTGGGGGTCCAAGTTTTCTTCCGCAACTGGGAATCCTTTCTTGGCTCCTCCATCTTGGGGACGGAGCCCCTTCAAGATCGCTGACCTGTAGATGAAAGGGAAGCTGGGATCCCACATAGCAAAGGGATTGAGCGTCCCTGCGAGGTGTCTTCTGCACGGGTGATGGGAGCCTTTATTCCACCCGCACCGACGATGGACGCTGTTGTCAGCCTCATTTGACAGACGCAGAAACGGGCGCAGGACAGTTCGGGTCACTGCTCAGGCTCGGGAGCGGCAGAGCTGGGGTGGAAGCGAGGCTTTCTGGCTCCTGAGCCTGTGTGTTTACACTTCCGAAACCACCTCCCGGACCTGCTCAGAGGCGCCTTGGGAGCAAACACGCCCTGGAGAGCTGCTTCCACTGGGCTCGCTCTGGCGCACGGGGTAGGATCCTAAGGTGCCCCGGTGGCTTAGAGAATCCAGGTCAGCGTTTGGACTCCACCAGCAGCTCCGCTGGAGAAAGACTTGGCTTTCTACTCCCGCCAAGATTCACAGTCTGGGGAACCCACAGGGGCTTCACTGTGAGTTGGACTCCACTTGATGGCAGGGAGCTTTGATTGGGGTCATGCCAAGGGCTACAGTGCCTCCGTGTGGCCTCTGTGGGGATTCTAGGATAGCAATCATTTCTGCCCCAACATTTGCCCACCCAGCACAGCCTGGCAGCCCAGGAAAGCAAGGGGCAGGAGCAAGGGGGAGGTAGGATGCTCTGCCCCGCTTTCACCTCCTCCATCACTTCCCAGAGCTCCTCCTCCCAACCCTTCAGGGCTCCCCCAGGGGTCCCTTCTACAAGACCCTCATTGGCCCATTCAGTCATCACAAAGTATTAAGCTCTGGGGCTATAGCCCTGAGCCAAGTGGTCAACAGTTTTGTTACACGGAAGCTGACCTTCTGGCGAGGAATAATGACAGTCACGTCATAAATACATCACACAATACAGGTGGCATGGAGGATAGTGGATAAATAGGACAAAGGGACTAGACAGTGAACCAGAGAGGTACTCCAAAGAAAGGCGGTCCAACCGAATGCAGAAATTATTCAACAATATCATTGCAATCACACAAGTAAAAACTGGCTGAATACATTTCAAGGATGGCTGCAGTACTCTATCGGCACAACGGCCAGGATTTCAAAGCTGGATTCAGGGGAGGATGTGGAATGGGGGCTATCTATCATTGCCGAGGCCAGGTGGATCTCGGCTGCAAGCAGAGAACAGCATAAAGCGGTTTACCTATGTGTTCTCAACTGCAAATGCAAGGGCATTTGACTGTGTGGACCATAGCCAATGGTGGATAGCCCTGAGAAGAGTGGGAATTGCAGAACACTTCATTGTACTCATGGGGAACCCATTCACAAGCTAAGAGGCAGTTTGACTAGAACAAGGGGGTGGGTGTGGTGTGGTCTAAACTCAAGAAAGGTGTGTGTCAGGGCTACATGCATTCACCACCCTTATTCAATCTGTATGCTGAGCAAATAATCTGAGAAACGGGAGTCTAGGAAGGAAAACCCAACATCAAGGCTGGAGGGAGACTCCTTACCAACCTGCATGATGCAGGGGACACGACCTTGCTGGCTGAAAGAGGGTTTAAGGCCCTTACTGATGAAGATCAAAGCCGGCCGTCTGCAGTTTGAATGGCACCGTGGCATCAAGAAAACCAACATCCTCCCAGCTGGGCCAATAGGCAGCTACCTTGATACGCGGAGAAAAGATTGAAGTTGTCAAGGATTTCATTTTCCTTGGCAGTCAAGAAATCAAAAGATGGATTTGCATTGGGTAAAGGCGCTGTCACAGATCGCTTTTAAAGTGCTGAAAAGCAGAGATGTTACATTGAAACTCAGGTGCACCTGACCAGAGCCCTGGTATTTTCAATCACCTCATCTGCATATGAAAGCGGGACCCTGTCTAAGGAAGATTAAAGAAGAAGGTGCGTTTGAATTATGGCCTATCCCATCACCAGCCAGAAGTACAGACTAATCTGTTCTGGAAGAAGTACAGACAGAATACTCCCTGGAAGGGAGGATGGCTAGGCTTCCTCGCCCAGATTTTGGGCCTGGTATTGAGGGACCAGTTTCTGGAGATGGATATCCCGTGGGAAAGAGGAAGAATCTCCATAAAAGGGGGTGCCCAGTGGCTGCCGCGATGGGCTTACACGTAGCCGTGATGGCAAGGATGGTGCAGCATCTGGCCATTGTGTTCTGTTGGCTGTGGGGTCACCAGGAGTCAGAACTGATTGGATGGCACCTAAGGGTCATGACAAAGGGGGATTCGAGAATGATGGACCGTAGTGCTCAGGCCAGGTGTCTTTACGGAGGGGACGCCTGAAGGAGGGGAGGGAGAGAGCCTGGTGGCGCTATCTGGGAGAACAGATGCAAAAGTCCTGTCGGGGGAACGAACTTGGTGTGTTTGAGGAGCAGTGGGCAGGCCAGTGGGAGTGGAGAGGAGTGAGAAAGGCGGTGGGCAGAGATGAAGGCAGGGAAGCCGGGAGGAGCCAGACCCCACCTATGCGCTGTGAGCTGGAGTTTAGATTAGTCTCTGAAAGGACTTCCCTGGGGCATTGTCCATCTACCTGTCCGTCTGTCTAGAGTCTGTCCAACGTGTTCTGCGATCTGGCCCCAAAGTGACCTGGGAGCTGCCCAAGGGCTTGATAGCTTTCAGTCCCAACCATTGACCCTTGGGAAGTCCTTCTTACGATCTAGCTACCTACATCTGAGCACTCTTAGGGTTTGAGGGTCCTCCCTTTCCTTGGGTCCCCACAGAATGAAGGGGAATAGGAATTCAGTTGGGAGCCAAGACCTCAGGGCCTTTGTACTTGACATTCTTTCTGCCCAGGACACTGTTCCTCCCAGCTAGCTACGCATGTCTCTCTCTCTCTCTTTCTCTCTCTCTCTCTCTCTCTCTCTCTCTCTCTCTCACCTCCATCAGGTCTCTGACCTGACCAATCTTCTTGAATATCCGCTCCTCTCCCCCCACATCACCACTCTTTGCCTTCTTGCCTGGGTTATTTTTCTCCATAGTGCTGGCCACAACCCCTCCGTGACTTGATTGTTAATCCATTGTTTGTCTCCTCTCCAGAGGTCTTTGATGCGTCCCAGTGCCTAGAACACAGCCTGGCACACACTCCCACTCAAACTCACTGCTATTCTGTGGGCATCTGAGATAGTCATTCTTCTTTTTTTTTTTTCTAGAACTCAGCAAAATAAAATTCCGGTTTATTGTTGGACAACATTACTTCACACATACGTCAAACAGGCCAAAAAACCAACAAAAAACAGCAATTTCATACACAAAAAAAAGGAAAAAAGAAGAAACCTTTATCTTTGGCCCTTTTAACCATCTCATACAAACCAACTACTTATAATACAGCTAAGTACATACACAACAACAGTTACTGGAATGCTCGGAATAAGATTGTATTTTTTTATTGTTGTTTTTGCTTTGTTTACAAGTTTTTTTTCTCTTTTGAGATAATGAACATGGTCACACTGCAAGTAAAGTCAGAAGTAGGACAGAGAACGCTCCAAAGGCTGGTGTGGTCATCCGAGATCATTAGCAATGGCTGACCCCTGACAATAGGTACAAAAATATAAAATGTAAATAAAAAATACAAACAGATTTTCCTTTTAAAAGTACTTTTAAGAAACAAAGCAGGGCCTGGGAGGTTTGGGTTCTTTTTGCCTCCCCTGTTGCAAATTCACAGTGTGGTTTCGGTGGGGGGGTGGTGAGCGCGCGTCTGCAGTGGCGCAGCCGAGGTGACCGCGTTTAGCTTCTGAGACGGGAAGTGGAGGGTGACCAGGTCACGTGGCCTTTGTGTTTGTGCTTTGCTGTGTTAAGTTGAACTTTTCCTTTGGCTGTCTAGTCATCCTCGTCGGTCTTCTGCTTCTCGGTGTCCACATCGTCATCCTCATCATCTTCAGCTGCCCGTTTGCCTGTAGCTGCCCCAGCCTCCTCCTCTTCTTCGTCACCATCACCTTCCTCCTCTTCCTCCTCCTCTTCCCCACCTTCTTCCTCTTCTTCGTCTACCTGGTTGTCAGCCTCCTGTTCCCCCATTTTCCTCATTAGCATTCCCGTTGGCGGGGCCTCTCTTCCACTCTCCGCCTCCTCCACCACCTCCTTCTCCTTTAAGTCCTTGGTGGTGATCTTGGCAAGGTGCTGGTGGGGCACGCTGGTGATCCGGTACAGCGGGTGACAAAGACAGCGCGAGCTCTCGAGGAGCTCGGGGACTCTGGCGAGAGAGCTGCCGGGGTCCTCAGCGGCGGAAGTGGCTGCGGTGAGCGGAACCCGAGAATACTGCAAAAGATGGCTTTTCAGAGCAGCCAGTGAGGGAGAGAGATTGTCATTCTTGATGGCAGTAGACAGCTTCGTCTTTCTCCCGAGGAGTAGATGGTGGTTTTGAACTCCTGACCTTGTGGTTAGCAACCCAACATGTAACCACGATGCCACCAGGACTCCTTGGCATACACTTGTTTGACTAAATGAACGGATTGCTAGTTATCGTTATCTGTGTGCTGACATGTACAACCGGAAGAACTGCTGGCTTAGTCTGGCACCGTCTCCGGGCACTGGTGCAAGCCATCTGTAGTTACCGCCTCTGTGGAGTTTGAATGTCTTCCACCTTGGGATCCAGCTTCCCATGTGTGCCACACAGCATTCTGCTGTGATCCACAAGGTTCTCATAGGCTGAATTTTGGAAGTAGATCACCAGGCCTTTCTTCCTCATCTGCCTTAATCTGGAAGCTCTGCTGAAACCTGCCCACCCCGGGTTGATTCTGCTGGTATTTGAAATACCAGTCGCATAGCTTCCAGAATCTTAGCAATGCAAAAATCACCATTGTACAAAGCACTGACAGGCTGTGGAATACACACAGGTACACATGCATACACACAGGTACACACACGCATGCACACACACACACATGCATACAGAGTTGTTATCTATCCAGCATCTTCTTTCTCAAACTGCTGTGATCATGTGCCCAAGGGTCAGAGGAACAGCCCTTTCCTCGGACAAGGCTAACTTTCTGTGTATTTCAACTCCTGGGTTGGAAACATCAGGAAAACCCATTTTCCTCACCTGCACCTGACGTGCCACCATTATTTAGAAGCAAAGACCAAGCTCACTGCCATCGCGTACACTCAGACTCAGAGCCAGCCTGCGTGTTTCAGAAGGTGTTACTCTTTAAAAAAAAACTTTAAACAGCTTTATTGGCATCTAGTTTGCAAACCATACAATTCAATAGTTCAGTCACATCAAAAAGTTGTACAATCGTCACCACCACCAGCTTTAGAACATTTCCCTCATTCTTGTATGTGTTAGTCTGGGTAGACTAGAGAAACAAATCCATGGACACATACATGTGTATAAGAAAGAGATTTATATACAAGAGCAATTGAATGTTGATAAAGCATCCCAGCCCAGTTCAGATCAAGTCCATAAGTCCGATATTAGCCCATATGTCTGATACCAATGTATAAAGTCCTCTTCAGACTCACGAAACACATGCAATGAAGCCAAATGCAGGACGATCACAGGCCAGTGGGTGGGAAGTCTTGTGGATCCAGTGGTGTTGTAAGCATTTCAGCACTGGCAGGGGCCTCTCTGGCTTCAGATGTCTGGTTGCATCCATGTGGCTTGTCCGGCTCAGGGCACTAGGGCAGTTCCATGTCTTGTTAGCTGCAATGTCTCCCAGGGAGTGGCAGAGAGAGAGACTCTTCTGCCTCCAAGGAGGAAATACAGGATTCCCCAGAATTCTCAGGAGAAGGCCATGCCCACAGAGAGGCCTCATTGGCAATGATCTGATTGACAGGCTAGACTCCACCCCTACATTCTTAATCCTCAAGTTGACAAATGAGTATATAACTACCACATTGTACTTATCGTTATTAACTCCCCACTTCACCCAACCTCTCCTGGACCCATTAATCCAGGTATTATCTCTGTAGAGTTACCTATCCTGGATTTCATACACAGGGGAAAAGAAAAGAAGCTAACAAGAATAACAAAGCGAAATGGATTTTAAAAACCTCAATAGAAAAGATCGCAGAAAATATTTAAAATTTTTTAACAAACTTGAATAGATCATAAGGGAGATCAACTTGTAGGGGGAGGCTGTAATGATTTTATTATTATTATTATTGACGCTTTACAGGAGCAGAAAGCCTCATCTTTCTCCCCCAGAGCAGCTGGTGGATTCAAACGGGTGATGTAGTTGGCAGCCCAATGCCGCGCCACCCACTACGTATGCCACCAGGGTCCTTTCAGCATTCTAGGGTCCTGCTATGTGGAAAGAAGACGCCGTTAGAAATGAACGAACATCTGAAGGACCGGAGAGGGAGAAAGACCCTTTGGAAGCCCCCAGGGGCGCAGCAGGGGACATGGACTTGACCCCCCCGCGTGCCTTTGAGCTCTGGTTACCCGGCTGAGCTGCGCCGGCCGGAAACCGGGGGCTGCAGCGACACCTGGTGGAGGAGCGGGCTCCGCGCAGGGGCCGTGGGTCCCGCGGCGCGGGCGCCTTGCGTGCGTGCGTGCGTGCGAGGGCACGTGTCTGGTCACGTGTCGGGGCCTGGCCCGGGTGACACGAGGAGGAAGTACTCGTCCAGGGCGGAAAACGTAAGAACACTCGGCCGCCGACCCCACCGGGTTCGCTCAAGATCGAGAAGCATGCAGCCAAGAAAGGAGGAAGCCATCACAATGGCCACGCGAGACAATGAGGAGCGCGAACAGGATGGCCGGGGTTGCACGGGGCTGTCGAGTGGCTCTGACCTCTGACCTGACGTCGAACACAGTGGAATGCTCACTGCTTGCTTGAGCCCATTGTGGCAGCCACTGCATCAGTCCATCTGGGGGCAGGGCCTTTGCATTTTCCCCTGCCCCCTCTACTGGACAAGCACGATGTCCTCTTCCAAGAAATGGCCCCTCTTGATCTCAGGTGCACAGGACAGGAGCGAAGCCTCCCCATCTTCCCTTCTGAGATGTGCATTTGAGCTCGGCTTCTCCCTAGACGGCGCACCCACACCGCAACTCAAACGCACTGCATGTGCCTGGACCCTTGTTTCTCCCAGATGTGTGTGTGTGGGTGGTTGTTGCTAGCTGCTGTGGAGTTAGGCCTCGAATCACAGTGACCCTACAGATCGTTGTGATCCATTGAGTTTCTATGACATTTGGGTGGGGTGGGGAGGCGGTGGCAAGTGGATTGCCTGGCCTTTCTTCCTCCTGCGTCCGAGTCGGAAGCTCTGCTGAAACACGGTCAGCATTATGGCAGCCTGCACGGACAGACCTTGCATACACCGGCCAGAAATGAAACCCAGGGCTCTCTCACGGAACCACTTAACGGTGGTAAAATCTGCAAAGCAAGCGCTTGTCATTTCAACGCTTTTGACGAGTAAAGCTAAATGACGTGATGGATCTGCCCTGTATGCAAAATGATGGCTCTGTTTTAGGTTCGTTCCCACTTTCTAAAACTATTGCATTAAAATATTATTTATCTTGAGTACTGAGGGCCTCTTGTCCCCCACCCCCTTACATCGTGTCCCCAAGGCAACTGCCTCACTAGACACCCTGGTCCCAGCTGGGCATGGTGAGATATGTGTGGGGTCCATGTCCTCTCTGTGTGCAAGTAGTGCTCTAGGGAGGTGTGTGTGTGTGTGTGTGTGTGTGTGTGTCCAAGCTGAGCAGAGTGTGAAATCACTCCTGTGTCTGTGCACATGGAGGCTGTGTCCATGCATGGGGACCAGACAGGGGTGTGTGGATGTCCTGCAGCCCCACAGCTCTGTGTGGGTATGACAAGGACCCCGAGTTCCGCGAAGGGCCGGGGAGGAAGTGACTGGCGTGTTCTCTTGCTCATGCGTGTAAGCGTCCATCTAACTCAGTGCGGGTGGAGCTGAGTCCCACTCGTGACGGCCTGTGTGTATTGGAGGAGAGCCATGTTCTGTTCTGTTGAGTTTGGGGTGGCTGTTTTATTTCAGGAAGAAACCGCCAGGCCTTTCTTCCAAGGTGCCTCCGATGTCCTCGGACCTCCCCCAACCTTCCTGTTAGCCACTGAGTATGTTCCCCATTCCCACCACCCCAGGATTCCAGGGAGTGATCTAGACAACGTGTACTGGGACCCCTCTGTGCCTCATTCCAGAGACCAAGGTCTAGGTGATCGCCCACACTTCATGGGGGTTTGGAGGGGAGTGTCATTTTTCTGGAGGAGTTGAGCCTGGGCATCTTGGGGAGAGGGGGTTTGTGAAGGGAGCGGAAGACTTTGGCCCCACTCTTAGGGGACCCCTCTCCAAGAACATCAGCATGATGTCTTCCTCCCTAGGCTGGAGGCCCGATCTATCTCACCACTTCATCCACCCAGAACGCAGCCGCAAGCCAAGGAGAGACCAGGAACCAGCGGGGAGTCATCAGACTCAAGTTCTTTCCTAAAGTCTGTAGGCAGAAAAGCTTGTCCCTGTCTGTCTTGGTACCCGCGCCCCCAATGGGATCTTGGTGCCTGCAGACACTCACTGCACACCCAGTTCTAACAGTCCTGGGGGTGACACGGAAGCCCCGCTCAGCAGCTGGGGAAACAGGAGGACACTACATGAGAAACCAAAAACCCAAGTGTGTGTGTGTGGGGGGGGGGGGGGGCGTTGAAGGGAGTGGCAGGTAGCTCCTCACCTTCTAGACCCCAGAGGGTGACTGTTCTTCCCAGAAAATATGCCTGGTGAGCGCACGATAAGCCAGACCCAGTCCATTCTGGATTTGTCTCATAATTTAGTGGAAGAAATGGATCGAGGCCCTGGAGGTGTGGAGAGATGCAACAGAGCCGAGCTAGGGAGTGGCCCTCAAGGCCAAGTCCAGGAGGTTCAGCTGGGAGACAGTGCAGCAGGGTCCCAGGACGCTGTGCAGGATGTCAAGAGTCACCCAGGCTGCACGCATACGATGGAATATGATGCTTCAGTCAAGAACAGTGACGACTTTCTTAAACTCCGCAACAGAGGGACAAACCCGGAGAACATTATGCTTAGCAAAACTCCTCCGTCTTCTAGCAGGAGCTATCTCATAACACCCCTGTTAGAAGGAAAAACAGAGAACAAGAAAAGTCGTTTTCCCACCAAAAGATTCCAAGGAGGCTGAAGGATGGGGGTAGGCTTAGGGCGAGGGGAAGGATAGGAAATTACAGACGGAGGGAGGGGACAGAATAAAACAGAACCACATTTATGGGAATTTAAAGAGTGTGTATGACTAATTTCATT